TGGAGGGGGAACAGCCTTTTCACAGGAGTCACCTAAGACCATCGGAAAACACACATTTCCGATAGTCTTAGGAACTGAGACACCACTTCTCTACCCATCTCCAGGCGAGTCTGCCCACATGCAGATAGGCCCACATAGGAGTCGCTGGCATGAAGAATGTTGCCCATGCTACACCATGCTTCAAGACAACATTTTATATATTTGTCATTAGAAATAAATATTTCACAATATATGATTACATATGGTTTTGGGATTGATCACTATGCTTTAATGACATTTGATTTGTAACAATGAAAATACTTCCTGCATATCAGATATTTACAATTCAATTCATAACATAGAAAAATCATAGTGAAGTAGCAACGAAAATAATTTTATGATTGGGGGTCAACACAGCATGAGGAACTGTATTAAAGTGTTGTGGCATTGGGAAGGTTGGGAACCACTGGCTTAGGAGAAGCAGAAGGTTACTGTGGAAGGAAGCAAATGTTAAACAAGGTTTCAACAGATTTAGATAGGCAGGTCATATACTCCAGGCAAAGGCCTATGGACCAAGTTGTAAAGGAAGAAGAGAGTAAAGATCAAGAAATAGAAAACAATACTTGAAAAAGTCTAACTCATCTATTAAGTGTAGCTTCTTTTTTGGACCCAAAAAAGAAGTTCAGAAAGGGCAAGAGAATGCGAACAAGCAATGGGGGTAAGGAGAATGTCGGACTGGGGTCAACGCTTTTTAACAAGTGAATGCGCTCCAATTTGAAGTAGAACCATGGAGGTGATGCGTAAGTAAGTAAGCAAAAAAATAATCTTGCTATAAAATCATTAAAACGTTTATTAAACAAAATATCAAAATCTTAGTTGTTTCTCGAAATAGCCTCTGTTACATCCGCTATACACGTCTGAAAGTGGAGTTCCATTTCTCTAGCCCTTCCCCCCAAAGAGTTCTGTGCCCGTTGCTTTACGCCACACCAAAAGAGTTTTGTTCTCCTCGTGTTCTGTTAAAAGGTTCTTTAACTTTGGGGATCAAAACGAAGGCTGAAGGGGTCAGATCAGGGCTGTAGGATAGACGGGATACGGTTTCTAAGTGAAAGCCACATAGGGCAGTGCCGGCCACCCTAGAGGAATGGGCAGGTGCAGAGGCATGCTGGGAAAAAACATTCCTCAGAGGCCCTTTCCTTGACTTGCTCCTCAATGAAGCTTTCAATTTTCTGAAAGTTCTTCATAATAAGCCCCTGTGACTGTCCTGCGTTCTTCAAGAAATTCTATCATGACTACTTTGGGGTGTCTCAGAAAACGGTCACAGTAGCCTGCTAAGCTGACCTCTCCCCATTGGCCTGGCCCAGCAGATTCCCCTGGAAGCCACTACTTCGACTGTTTTGAAAGCTCCCACAGCCAGCATCCTAGCGCCCTAAGGAGACTATAACAAATGTATTACAGAGAGAACTTGTCTGCAGTCATTCACTGATCTGAGACATGTGTAAACATGCTTTGTTTGCACAGAAAACCTGTGCGTGTGTGCACCGGGGCTCCAGGGACAAAACTGTTTTACTTACCCTCACTTATACGCATATTCTTTTACCTAACTATAGACCTTCCCTTAATAACCTTAATGACTTAAATAAGAAGCTTCCAAGAGAAATAATTGCATAAGCTCTTACTGTCGTCACATGTTGGTGTCAGGGGACTCCACGTGCCATCGGCTTGGCAAGTAGCCTCGAATTGCCTCAAACTCCCCTCACACGAATAGCCAAGCTGGTCCCCGAAGAAAAAGTCACAGGGCGCAGTAGAGTGACCGATCCTCTTGAAAGTGGTCTTGCCATTCTTCAGCTGTGGTTTGGGGCAACATACCTCTAAAAATTAAGATAAAGCGAGTGGTTAGCAAATGAGTCATCAGGAGGCTCCTGTAGGTAACAATCTCATTTCCAGTTTTTTAAAGGTCTCAGAGATTTGGGAATGTAATTTTTTTTTAAAAGTATGTCGAAGGCATTTTGAGTCCGCACCAATGTTGGGCCCTGGTATAAGGTACTTCATCACAGCTATTTCCGTTCGGAAGCCCGAAGCTACGGAGCCACCTCTGATTCGTGGAGACCCTGTGAAGTGCCTGGACGAGGTGCCTTCAAATAAGAAGCTGGCATGCTCTCCTGCACGCTATGGGATAGGAGTGGTGATAGAGGGCGATTTGTCCGCACTGAGCGTGATGTGGGCTGCTGGTTTCATGTATACGGCCTTTATTATATTGAAGAATTTTCCTCTAGTCCTATTTGGCTGAACGTTTTTATCAGGAACAAGTGTTGGATTTTGTCAAATGCCTTTGCTGCATTAGTTGATATAAGCATGTAGCTCTTTTCTTTCCTTTTATTTCTATGGTGAGTTACAGTGATTGTTTTTAAACTGAACCACCCTCCCATACCTGGTATGAGTCACCATTGATCGTGACATGTTATATACTTTTGATTACTTTGGGGGGATTGTATTGACTAGGATTTTGTTAAGGATTTTGTATCTATGTTCATAAGGGATATGGATCTGTAATGTTCTATTCGGGCGGTGTCTCTGCCGTGTTTTGGTATCAGAGCTCTGCTTGCTTCATAAAGTGTGTCTGGGGGGTTGCCGTCCTTTCCTGTATCTTGGGATGGTTTGTGTAGCGTTGGTGTCAAGTCTTCTCTGAGGGCTTGGTAGAATTCCCTGGTGAGACCATCTAGACCTGCCGTCTGTCTTTTTGTGGTTGTTATGTGCTGTTGAGGTTTTCTAGATCGGTCTGTGCTCATTTGGGTTGGCAGTATGTTTCTAGGATTGTTTCCATTTCTTCCAGGTTGTTAAATTTGTTGGATAGCTGTATCCCTTCATAGTACTGGGTTATTATCTGTTTCTATTTCAGTTACATCTGTTTCTTATTGGCGATTTTTGCTGCTTCTCTTTCTTTTTCTTTGCTAGTTTGCCAATGGTTTGTACATTTTGTTAATCCTTTCAGAAAATCTACTTCTCTGAATGTCGATTCTACTTATTGATTTTTTGTTCTATTCTGATGTGTACTTTAAGAAAAATACCCCTCCCCCGATAAACCTCCACTGTTATCAAGTCAATTCCTACTCATAGCAACCAAATTCTTCCATTTTAAATAGAATCAGACCTTATACAGAATAATATCTTATTCATTAAAAGAAACACATTAAGATAAGAAGTTAATACTGTCTGGTGTAAGAGAAAAAATCAGAGCGGAAGAAAATGCTCTAATCTCTAAATCAGGAGATAGACTGGTTTTCATGCAGCCTTTCTGACACACACTTTCAATTCTCACTCATGTGTCAACTATAATTTTAAAAAGTGCAGCATCTATACAATCTCTAAGTTAAAACATTCACATAGTGCTGTACAGTGTACAAAAGATCCATTGGTGCAATGAGTAAATGAGTACCAAGCTGTTGAGTACCAAGTAAATGAGTACCAAGCTGTTAACCTAAAGGTTGGTGGTTCAACCCAACAGCAACCCTGAAGCAGAAAGATGAGGCAGTCTGCGTCCATAAGGAGTTACAGCCTCAGAAACCACAAGGAATGATTCTACTCTGTTCTGTGGGGGCTATCGTGCATCAGAAGCAACTTCACATCTGTGGATGGTGCATACAGCATGCAAAATGCTTAAATATGTAAGCTGTGAACCTTAATTTATATTGACTCAGAATTTATGATACAAATAATAAATATAATTTTACTTCTACATTTTGAATTATTAGAAAATTATTTTCTAAGTGATTGGAAAATCTGTTATTAAAATTTAAATCCACAAATCAATAGTAGATAAAAAGAATATGCCTGTTTTTAAAAAAAAGGTGTTTAAACATCTGCACAGATCAAAGTGGTTTGTTCATTACATGTCATTATTTATATTCATAAAAGAGACTCTTCAAAGGCTTATGCGTATCAATGCTTTGTTTCTTTTGGAGATATCATTAATTTTTTTAAGAAATATTTTTAGTTCATTTCTTTTGTTATCAAGAGCATGCATTTTATTTCCCTAAATTAAGGCAGAATACTTGAGATTTAATTTGTGAATAGTCATAAATAGGAAATAAAGGTTCTTTCAATCAGTTGATCTAAAGCACTATGCTTTTTACTTTTTATGCATCAGGAAATGCACAACACTTTCCAAATTTTAATCTGTGGAATAGTTTCCTGTCTCCCGGACTTTGGGATCTTCCCCTTTAAAATGTCAAGGTTCTAATAGATGTGTAGAAGGAAGCAATTTCTCTCTTTTTTCTCAGTTCCCCAGTTGCTGACTCACTGTCCCACCCAGAAAAGACACATCTCCTACCAGTGAGAATGGGGGATGGCTCCAGTCTGTGTCTCTGGGGTAAGACTACTGGGTCGGGATCAGAGTCTGTCTTCTAGACATCTCTCAGGAAATCCAGATCTGTCTGTCTGCCCTCCGAGCTCAGGGTTAGACTGGAGCTAGTTGAGTCCATGACTCTTTCCGATTTCCCTTATCCTGGTTCCCCTAAGTCTAGATTGGGGAAGGCAAGGGTGGTGAGACAAGTCTGTCTCTAGCGATGGGTACTCTATGGTCTGTCTTCTGATACTGTCTGTGCGTAAGAGTGGACTTCTGGGTCTGTTTCTCCTTTAGTTCTGAGCTGGGATGGGGAGAGGTGAAATATGTTCGGCCCCACCCATCCCCAGGCCTTTATGATTTTTTTCTGGCAAAATAATTCATTCTATTCACAGCCATCACCATCTGTATGTCAGGGGTGGCTTCCATGTTGCTAACCAGGTTATAACAGACAGAGACAGGAAGAAAGGATTGTCAATCAACCTCCAAAAACAACCCAGTGGACACCTTATAGATTACAATGGAATATTTCTCAATATGGTTTTGTGGGGCCCCTTCGAGTCAAGACCAATCCAATGGTGGCTAGCCCCAGCAGCAGTCTGCTGAATGAATACAATTCTGAACTTACCTTAGAGGGTGAAATTATAGTCTACTCAAGAAGAGACCCCTGGCACATACTGGGCATTTGATATGAGAGAGAGAGAGAAATATATAGAAAGAACAAATAAAACCTTATATAGAGGGAGAAAAAAACAAAACTCACTTTCGCACCCTTTGAACGGGGTCCATGTCAAATCTTCCTGACAAGTTATAGTCATGGGTGCATCTGCCATGGATCGGTAGCCAGAATGGCATCGGTACCTCAACACCGTCCCAACATCATATAGGCTTTCTTTCCTTGGCTTGTAGTAGTTATATACTTCCCAGTTAGCATGTGGGATATCTGGTAAGTTGGTACAACTGTCTACTCACAAAGAAAGAACAAAAGAAAAGGACACTGTTACTAGGCTCCCACAGCGACCCATGATCCCATCATACCAATAATTGTCAAGCATTCATTCAGCCAAGAACCAGCTACAGAGACTGAGTCGGCTGCTGCAGCAACATGCACCCAAGTGAGCACAGCCCCCGAGAGGGATCACTAAGGGTGCTACCAAGTGGTCTCTGTGTTGTGCTGACTGTAAAGCACATCACGTGTCCTTCCTCTTTGTGGTAGTCTGTAAAGTGTGTTGTCCACGTGGATGTGTGAGCCTTGCTAGTGAAATATGCCAGAAGACCTGCCGCAGACAGACACACCCTCTGACTCCTTCCTGACTAATGGAGGAAACCGGTCACTCATCCCCCTCCCTCAACCAACCTTATCAAGTAAGGGCTTAACAAGAACAAGCTAAATTCCAAACCTCTTTTGAAACCGAGTGTTGAATCATATTCTCAACACCCTTCAGATCTAAATGTTGGTCTGAGTGGCTGTAAAAGGAAGAAAGGTAAAACTGAAACTGACTTCAAGACGTTAGTGGCAAGCAAGCTGCTTTCAAACTTTTTTTTAGGGACAAAAATCATTTATTTCTTGTGAAACTTTACTTTTTTCCTTTTAAAGCAATCAAGTGTAATATAAAAAATATTGTGAGAACATTACAGTTCTCTATCCACTGCCAGGGAGTGGTTGTCATAAACATACTGATCCATGATGCCAACAATGTGAATGCTGCCCCCTTAGAGCTGGGGTGTAACACCAGCCTGTGAGATCTTGAGGGTCAGCAGGAAGGGGTATCAGAAATTAAAAAGCAAGCAACCAAATCAATATGAAAGGGGGTGTGGTTGTAGTGGAGACCTAAAACCCACCTACAAGATAACGGGCCAGTCCCTCTCAGAAGGGCCACATGGAAGGGATGATAAACCCAGGGTGTGGTACAGCACTGATGAAACACATAACTACCCTCTAGCTCTTTAATATTTCTTCCCCCTACTATTATAGTTTTTATTAATCATGTTATATTTGCCTATATTCATTTGTATATTTAAGATCATTCAGTACATGAAAGCCAAGATAGTTAACCCTTCAGCAACAGTAACAGGAGTAATGGTTCCCTGGGGGTTCAGGAAGAGATGGAGGGAAGTAGGGAATAGGGAGTTGATAGCATTGTTGACTGTATAACCCCACTCCGTGGGATTGAACAACAGAATTGTATGTGAATGGGTATATTGGATTGTGTAAGATATGGCAAGTGAAACCCCAAAACTATTATAGGACAAACAGGGGGGCTTCTGGAGGGTAGGACGGGGGGTGGAGGGGATAAAGGGGAACTGATATCAAGGAGTTCAAGAGGAAAGAAAATGTTTTGAAACTTATTGTGGTAGCAATCGTACAATACTGCTTGATGTGGTTGATCTATGAAATATTATGATATCTGTAAGAACTCCCAATAAAATGCTAAAGAAAAAAACCTGGGGTGTGCATAGCTTACACAACCATAGGTGCTAGCCCGTGTGATGCTGTAGGGCTTCAAACAGTTTACTGAATCTTTCTTCAATCCAACAAGAAAAAAATAGAGGAAGCCATTTATCTCACTTGAAACCACCACTCTGGCTAAATAGGGCCTGGAAATGTAAGTGTGCCGCCATTAGCATTTCTTGGTGCCTTTAGAGGACCTGCAGAAGGCTGAAATCCCTTCGTGGTCCATACTCACTCAGCTCGCAGGTGGGGGGAGCCGGATGCCAGCTGTTATCTTCTTCACATTGGATTGTTCTGCTGCCTCTGAGGATGTGCCCATTCTTGCAGGAAAACACAACGGAGTCTTTGAAAGTATAGGTGGGTCGCAACCCCGAGCTTACTATTCCATTTGGAACCACTGGCTGAGGACAGGTGACTTCTAAGGAACCATAAGAAAAGACAACTGGGTTATAAAGAAGAACTTTTAAAAGGGGTACTGTGATAGTTACATAATCTGGTGTCAACTTGAGACTATTAAGAGTGAAGGGGTGGAGTTTAGCCTGTTAATCAGGTTGAGGCTGGATAACTTCAATCAGAGGAGCTTAGGAGATCAATAGCTCACCAGACCCAGACTCCCCGCTTGGTCTTCCTGCTGACAAGACACATGGAGGTGCGCTTGATGGAACCAGAGCCCGGGAGTTGGAGGGGCCATGTGGAGACCCCTACCAGTGCTGAGATACTTCCACTGCCACTGGATCCACAAGACTTTCCACCCACTGACCCAGCTTTCTGCCCTCGGCATCATAGCATGTGTTGCGTGAGTCTGAAGAGAAATTTACAGACTGGTACTGGACATATGGCCTAATATCGGACTTATGGACTTGAGCTGGACTGGGCTGGGATGTTTTCTTAATATACAGTTACTCTTTATATCAAGCTCTTCCTTCTACACATGAGTGTTCTCTGGATTTGTTTCTCTAGTGTACCCGGATAACACAGGTCTGATGGTACTGCTAGTTCCATCCCAAGTCCAACACAAAGGCCTGTGTTGTACAACATACATGGGAATCATTTGACAGTAAATGTGTGTACTGTATATATATTTCACATCATTACCAGTGTGCCATCCTATGGAAGCTTATCTGTTGCTTATATGGTGCTACAAGCTATGCCACCAGTCACTCGCTCACAGTGGACAGGGTTCCAGACTCAGGCAAACTAGGAAGAAAGGCCCAGGCATACACTTTGGAAAATTAGCCAGTTCTGCCCGATGGCAACGCCATGTGCTACAGAGTAAACAGTTCCATTGGGGGTTTACTTGACTGTGTGCTATTTATGGAAATGGATTGCCAGGATTTTATTACACAGCTCTGAGGGTGGGTTTGAACAGCCCATCTTTATGGTTGGTAGCTGAGTACTAACCATTCACACCATGCAAGGACCATTGATACCGCTACAATCTCTCTTTAAAGGTTTTTGGTGTGTTTTTTTTTAAACAGATGTCACTTTGAAGACAAAGGCGTGACTGACCCAAGCCATGATCTCTTGGATGGTCTCATCTGCATGCAAAGGCTGTACCATGAATAAGGAAGACCAGAGAAGAAGCATTGCTTTGAATTACATTGTTGGTGAACAATATTGGATATACCAAGGGCTGCCGGAGAATGAAGAAATCTGTTTTGGAAGAAGTATACCAAGAATAACCCTTAACAGCGAGGAAGGCAACACTTGGTCTCCTGTACTTGGACTTATCAGTAGGGACAGTCCCCAGAGAAAGATATCATGCATGGCAAAGTAGGAGGTCATCGAAACTGAGGAAGACCTTCAAGGAGATGGATTGCTACAGCTGCTGCAACAACAGGCTCACATAGCAGCAATTGTGAGGATGACTTGGGACCAGGCAGTGTTTGATTCTGTTGTATGAGTTGGAAACAATTTAACAGTCTTTAACAGCAATAATCTCTCAGCTTCTCTCCAGACCTGCTACCTGGCTGCAGTTGAAAGCACCTTCATTTTCTCTGAATGGTTCTAACAGTTGTCTTTCGGTCTCCCCGAGGTTCAGGTTCAGCTCTTGGAAGCCAGTTTTCTTTCTAAAAAGCAGCGCATTGACCACCCTGCTTAAAACCTGGTCCTGTCTCCCCTTCATCTTCACTCTGAACTCCTGAGGAGGATGCATGAGACCCTTCATAAGCTAGCCCTCTGGCCTTTCAGCCTTAGCCCCTGCCACTCCCACCCTTTAGAGTTTGCAGTATCCTGTTCTCTCTGAGCCTGGCTTCATTGTGTCCTGGGGCGAATGAGAACAGTCGGTGATACAACGTAGGCACTTGGTCAAAGACAAGTCCTTAAATCAGCCAACTAGCAAGAACATATCTTCTGGCTCCCTTACTGATTGCATCGTGCTGTTGACCCACGGTTTGCCTGTAGACATCTGTGATGAACATGAAAAGCGTCAATCAGTATTGCCAGGGTCATCCCTGGGATAAAGTGCTCTGTTCCCCAGTTCAGTAGGGTAGGTAGTTCTGGCACAAAAGGCACAATGGAACATGATAGGTGGTCATTTAGAGATCAAATCTCTTAAAAGTCAGAATATAATTTATTTTTCTATATCTACTGAAGAGTTTATCTTTATTTTGACAAGTATTATACAACATTTTCCAATTCAACATTTTTTGCATGTATAATTCTGTGACATTGATTATGCTCGTCATGCTGTGCAAGTATTCCCCTGTTTCCAGCGTATTCCGTGACCATTCATGGAAACCCAGTGCCCCTAAACCCAGTGCCCCTTAGTGGGTTCAAACCACAGACATCTCAGTCAGCAGTCTAATACCCATGAGGGCACCAAGGCTCCTTCCTCTCACCCTTGGTAACCACTAATAAATGCCAATTGCATATAAGTGGAATCATATAAGATTTGCCATTTTGTGACTAATGGATTTCACTCAGCATAATGCATTCAGGACTCAGTCATGTTGTAGTGAACATCAGGACTTCCTTTCGCTTGTGGCTATGTAATAATGTGTGATCTATATGCACCACACATGTGTATCCAGTTACCTGTCCATGGACCCGTAGACTGTTCAAACCTTTCGGCTATTGTGAACGGTGCTGCAGGGCTTTGGGGTGCACATTCCTGTTTGCATCCCTGTTTCATTTCTATTGAATATATATCCACGACTGGGATTGCTGGGTCACACGGAAATTCTATATTTGATTTTTGAAGGACCTGCTAACTTTTTCCCCACGGCAGTTGTACCGTGTTGCTTCCCCACCAGCAAGGAGTGAGTGTTCCAAATTCTCCACAGCCTCTCTAGCACACGTCAGTTTCTGCTGTTGTGTTCTGCTGCTGCTTATTTGTTTGTGTGTGTGTTTGTTTCGGCGTATCCATTGCACAGCCACTGTGGCAGGAGAAAGCTGAGTTTTTCTGCTCCCATAAAGGTCTTCAGGCTTCGAGACCCACAGGGACAGATCGGGCCTGTCCTTCAGGGCCACACTGAGTTGGAATCGGCTTGATGGTAGTGAGTTGTTGAGAGGAATCCTGAGGAAAGACCTAGAACTCTACTGAACCATCAGCCTTTGAACCCTGGCGGAGCAGAGCTTTCCTGTGATAAGGCCTGGGGTCCCCAGGAGTAGGGACCAGCTGGTCAGCCATGGGTCCTGGTCTGGCTAGCGGCGCTCAGCATCTTTTCATGAATTTGCCGGTCATTTACATAACCTTTTTGGTGAAATACCTATTCAAACCCTTGGCCAAGCTGTTACTCTTTTTGCTGTTAAGTTGTAGCCATCCTTGATATAATCCGGATATTCTATCCTTATTAGCTGCACAGTTCCCCAAGATTTTCTTCCAATATGTAGGTTGACTCTTCACTCTGTTGATAAATTCCTTTGATGTACAAAAGGTTTAAATTTTGACGAAGTCCAATTTATCTAGGCTTGGGGAGATTTTTTTTTCTTGTTGTGTTGCTGCTCCTGCTATGGATGTTGTATCCACGAGGTGGCTTTGCACAGTTCACGGGGAAATTTCCACTACCTTTGGATTCCATTTTCCACCAACTTCCTGATGCCCCCTTACGTTGGAGCACATTTTGTTATGAAGGTGGCCATAGTCAAACCACCCGGGTTGATAGCATATAGTTTAGAGCTTCCCTGGAGAGCCTCCTTGAAACAAAGCCGACTTAGGAAAAATGAGAAATAAGCTTGTATATCACAAAGTCAATGAGCTATGGGTCCTAGTGGCTACTCTATTCAGATGCTAAAACTCAAAATCTCACTGCCATTGAATCAATGCTGTCTCATAGTGACCCTATAGTACAGGATAGAACTGCTTCTCTGAGTTTCCAAGATTGTAACTCTTCACGGGAGTAGAAAGCCCCATCTTTCTCCCGAGGAGTGGCTGATGGTTTTGAACTGCTGACCTTGTAGATTGCTGTCTAGGGTGTAACCACTACTTCTTCATAGCCCCTCTATGTACTAACAGAGAATGTCATCAGTCTCAACTGACCAAAGAAATGATTGCATCCTTGCAATAATCACGTTGTCTTTGAATTGCTCCATTTCCTCAGCATATTTTTTTCCTTTTAAACAAAAATAGAATAAGCAATTTAAAGTAGAAATCCTTTTGATGACTTACTTATACAGGTAGGCGGATCTGGGCTCCAGACACCTGTTTGATTTTCCACTGAGCAGGAAATAGAGGCTTGGCCTAAGAGTGCATATTGGGAATCACAACTGTAGGTGACGGAAAAGCCGTATGTATAGAAATCTTCTTCTCTCCCACTGTGCCTCCCATGGCTGATGGCTGGAGGGGGCTCACAGTGTATACCTGAGAGGAGGGAAGAGGGAAAAAATAATCAGGAAAGGCGTAATCACAAATCTGAAATGCATGATTCAAATTCTCCTGGATGGTACACAGTGCAGCAAAGGCACACCGAAGTTTAAAGGCGCCACGTGGCTTAGGTCCAAGTCAGGAATGAACAAAATCTGTCCTTACTTGTGCATATCGGGAGAGGGTCACTCCAGTCAACCCCTCGCTCCTGGACTTCACAGTAACTGGTGGTTGAGCCAAGTAAGATATATCTGAATAAAAAAGGATCAAATATTTTAATAGAGTACTTCCTACCCTGGATCACCTTGGATAAAAGAGTCTTCACAGGTCGAATTGTCACTCAATATTAAACATGAAGAAATGCTATGTTTCTTGGAAAACCCCTCCCATTCACTGAGTACACCGGGTCACTGGGAATCAGACCCTATTTGACAACACCTGACAACAGCATTGAGGACTATATCCAGATGCCTCTT